GTTTTTCGTCTCTCCCTGGCCTCGCTCCGCCTCCCCCTTCCTCGAGCTGCGGGCCCGTCCCCAGCCCCACCGCCCGCCCGACCGGCCCCGGGTCCCAGCGGGGGGGGGGGGGGGAGAGAGAGAGAGAGGATCCTCACTCCTCATGGGTCACTAACACGAACTCCCCTTGCCTCCCGCCCTCCCTCATGATACAAGGCGCATTCTCACGGCCCTTATCCCCCTGAGCTACGTGGTTGGGATACGTCCCACTCAGCTCGGCGTAAAGACGCTGCAGTCGCACTTGCTGGTGCCTCGGCCCTATGCCGAGCTAAATGCCATCTTCCGGAATGGCAACATTGCCGGCCTGGTGACCTTCTGCCAGCAATATGCCCCGATGCTCAAGCATTCCGGCGTCTACTTCCCCCTGGCGCGACTGTCTCAGGGACCCCTTTTTGCGGCCTTCATCAGGATCGCCACCCCGGCATTTGGGCAAAAAACCATGGACCTGGGCAGTCTGGCCCAAGTTATCCAAGTCCTGCAGCAGCAGACACAACTCCCTCCGACCGTGCTGGCCGAGCTCGATGATGTTGTCTTCCCAACTGACATTGCCGGCATCCTGGATCTCATCTACTCGACCAATGCCAATGTGCGTTGATCTCCGCCTGGAAAGCGGATCGCCTGGGCCCCCCTGGATGGTCCCTCTTTCCCCCCCCCCCCCTCCTGCCCGTGCTTGATCCTGACCACCTCCCTTTCCCTCTCTCTCTCTCTCTCTCCTGACACCTCCTTGCCCGTGTCCGCGTGGCCTAGGCCGCCGAGTTGCCAAACACCCAACAGCAGCGACCCTTCGCGTGCCAGCTTCTGCTCGGCTCCTCGATGCTCCTCTATCGGGGTACCGTGGTCCGCCCACAGGCCACCTTTTATGGCCCAGTGGTGGTCAGCTCCCTGGATGGTGAGCAAATCCTCGGTGGCCATGATTTGGAGCAAGTCGGCAATGTCATTGTGCACAATCGCACGCGTGTTGATTCGTGGAACGATTATGTGGTCATCCTCCCGGGCACCAAAAATTGCCTGTGACAAATAGATTTACCTTCCCTGGACGCGATGGAATATTACATGTTGAACATGGCATCTGACACACGGTGCAGCATGAACAGGGGACAAGAGGGGAGAAAGTTCTAAATGGAAGGGAGACCTGGCGCGCCGGTGTGTGGTGAACACAGGCCAATGCGCTCTGGCTTGAATGGGGGATGATGACCCGCCGCCTCACCGACGGCCGCTGGAAACAATGAGACCATGAGTGGGGGAGATGCACAGAGAGAGAGAGAGAGAGAGAGAGAGGGAGAGAGAGGGGGTTATGGAAATATTCGGGGGGAGAGGGAGACAATCATACTCGGTCAGTTTTGTGGTCCACATCCCAGCAAGGGGGAGCAACAGGGACGAAAGGGACAGAGAGAGGGGGGGGGAGAGAAAGAGGGGCGCGGGAGGGGAACGGGGTTTTACTCCGTATTCACACGTACCCAGGACGCCGGAAGGGGGTGACTGTGGGCTTCGGCGAGTCATCTGTGCTGGTCGAGGTGTGGGATTCCCCAGCACGAGGCTCACTTGGGGCCGCCTGTGCTGGCGTCGGGCCGGGCTGCGCCGGCGACGGTCCGCCATGACCCGGGGGAGGGAAATGCGGGCCAGGGTGCGGCATCCCTGGAGGTGCTGGAACCATCCGATCAGGATGAATGCCGCCCGGAGGAGGCCCATACGAGCCATGGGGGCCGCCATAGGGGCCGGGACCGCCATATGGCCCGGGGGGACCACCAGGCCCCCGGCCATAAGGCCCACCAGGCGGAGCGCGCCCGGGAGGGAAAGGATGCCGGCCACCGGGACCAGGACGAAAACCGCCTGGCGGGCCGTAATGGCCAGGACCACCATAGTGGCCTGGACCGCCAGGAGGCCCATAGTGGCCCGGGCCACCGGGACCACGAGGGCCGCCTGGTGGGGGGCCGTACCCACCTGGGGGACCACCACCATGGCGACTGCCGTTGGTGGGGATGCGAACACGAAAGACAGGAGTGATGAGGGGAAGTGGGAGGAGGTCAGTTGACATGTTTGCGTGTGTGTGTGTGTGTGTGTGTGTGTGCGTCAAAATGGAATGTAGGGGATCAGGCAAGATCAAGCCACTTACGGGGGATAATAGCCATCGGGACCGCCGCCGCCTCCGCGCGGAGGGCCATAACCAGATCGCTATTGGCAAGGAAACGAGGGGAGACAGACAGAGAGGGTCCGTCGTGAAAAGGAGACAGGTGTGAGAGGGGCGCGGATGGAATGCGTATGTTCGTGTGTGCGTGTGTGTGTGTGTGTGTGTGTCGACACAGTGGCAGGGCATGAAGGATCGTCCATAGAAGGGGGAAGGCACACGCACATGTCCGCCTGGGCCGCCACCGTAGCCATGAGGCCGGTCGTCCTGGCGAGAACGCTTCCCCCGGTCGGAGAAGCCCGGCTCACGGCGCCGAACTCCCGAATGCTTGTTGTCCTCAGGGTTGACAACCACCTGGCGATCATTGCGATTTTCCAGGAAGTGCCGGTACTGGGGCAGGGTCTCGAGCAGGCGGTCCCGCACGTCGGTCCAGTGCTTGAAGTCAGGGTAGGAGCTCTTGCCCCACCAGGGCTTCTCCGAGACGTAATGATAGAAGACATGCGGCGTGGTCTTGGTCACCCAGTATGCGCAATAGCGCATGGACACATGGTGCCACTTGTCGATGTAGTGATTGGAAATGAGCTCCTCATCCGGCCCAATGTGACTGCATTACATGGGGGGGGGGGGGGGGGGGGGGGGGGAGGAGGGGGTGAAAGCAGATGAGCATCGCCCAGTTAGCGAAACCTGCCAAAGGCGCTGGCGAGATTGGAAAACAGAGTGGAAGGGAAGGGGTGGGGGGGGGGGGGGGGCGCACTAGCGAGGATCACCGTAGGCTCCTTTCTCGGCCAGCATGGACGTCAGCTGGAAGTGGTCGCGCGCGCTGGGCTCCAGCAGCAGGAAACACCCGCGCATGCCGTACGACGAGCGGATGGCATGCTCGACGCGCTCGCGTGGCACCGGCTTCCCGTGCATCGCCTCTCCCTCTTCGCCCTCGATGACCGAGCAGTTGCCGGCCGGCGCGGCGAGTGTGAAGATGGAGTCCGGGTTACCCAGGGCCACCATATCAGCGTCCATGGACACGATCTGTGCCAATGGCAGGAGACACATATAAAAATACAAATGCACGTGTGGAAAGTGTGTTAGAGACATCCACCGAGATGTTGACAGCTGGCAGATTGACCCTCGCATAAACATGCAAACACACAGGCACATATGTACACAGGCACATATGTACACAGGCACACAGGCACACGGGCACACGGGCACACAGGCACACAGGCAGGCTCGCGTCTTGAGGCCAAAAAGAATGGGGCACTGGCGGATCGGACGCACCTTGGTATATTGCACCAGGGACAGGGCCTGGATCTTGGTCCAGCAGAAGGGCATCCAGCTGTAGTAGGACTGGAAGCGGCGCGGGTTCCGGCGGATGGGCTCGGCCTCGATGTACTCCACCTGCAGCACGCGCACGCCCTGGCTGGCCATGGCACGTCGGGCCTCCACATCGACGTCCGGCGTGACCATGACAATGAAATCGGCATTGGACCCATGGTCACGCAGGGACCGGTGTAGGACCATCGCCGCGCCGATGTACTCAACACCACACATCACCAGGGTCACAAAGGCAAAGGGCGACCCTGGCTCGGGCAGGACCGTCCAGTCGTAGTCCTCCTTGAGGAAGGCCCCGGCAGCGGCCAGCTCGCGGTCGGCTTCGGCCCCGCGTCCGGGCTCCTCCACAGGAAGAGCATCGGGCCCCGGCGAAGTGCCGGTGCCAGTGTCCTCGGCGTCGGCGTCAGCGCTGGCGGCTTGCGCGGCGTCATCGGCGTCAGTGGCCGGGGCAGGGGCGGCATCTCCGGTGGCCGGAGGGTCATTCGAGGCCAAAGTCCAGCCATCGAGATCGTCCTCGGCACTTTCGGCCGGGGCAGGAGGCGCCGCTTCGACTGGCGGCATGCCCGGAGCCCCAGGAGCAAAGCTCCACTCATCGTCATCAAAGCCACCGTGGGACATGGTGGTGCTGGTGCTGGTGCTGGTGGCAATCGGAGGCGGAGGCGGAGGCGGAGGCGGAGGCGAGAAGGAGGGTCGGGGAGGAAAGGGGGACAGGTTTTGGGGAAGGGGGGAAGGGAAGGGGGGCGTAGGAGGGCGGCGCGTGAGGCTGCTGGGCAAATGGTTTCCCGACCTGTGGAGCTGCTCTCAGTGCATCTCGGAGCCCTCTGGGCCGGGACCGGGGTGGGAGCGATTTCAAGCGGGGTCCCCGCAGTGTCCCCGCCTGTGGGACGCCCACTCATGCTGGGCTCGGGCAGCCGGATCCTGCTTGGGCAGTGAAAGACGCATAGACGCCCCCCCCCCCCCC